GACGTCTATAACAGTATTAATATTGTAAACGCGAACCCGCGAGCAGTTACGCTCGTCTTCTCCCCGCGAACGCTGTCTGCTCCATTGATTTTCCAGGTGCGTTTTCTCTTTTTTGGACCGTTTAAATTAACTTTCAATCCGATTACATTGCTCTGTGATGAAATACCTTTGATTTGAACCGATTAAAAATCGTTTTCGGTACTTTTTTTGCAGTCTCTTGCGTGTTCTTGGGCGGATTCTTTGACTATTTTTGGGCTACGTTTTATGCCGTTCCCTCCTCGATTTCCCTCCCTTTGACTGTTTCTGGGCTACATTCTTAGGCCGTTCCAGCAGTGCACAAACGGACGTCCAACCCCCCAGCCCCTACCACTAACAATACAGCCCAGTAGACATCAATGGTCGAGGTGCCGGACGTCTATATGGACGTCTATATAGACGTCCGGCCTGACACAACGGACGTCTATATAAACGTCCGGCCTGACATAGCGGACGTTTATATAGACGTCCGGCCTGACACAACGGACGTTTGTATAAACGTCCAGCCTGGCACAACGGACGTCTACATAGACGTCACCCTCATAGACGTCCGTTGGAGGTTGGACGTCAAAAGGCCCACAGAACGGACGTCTATAGCCCGTTCTGCACTAGTGTCACGTCCAAGGGAGCTCAATTTTTCTATTTCTCTTACCAAAACACATGCATAAAGTAATAAAATATTACTAATACACTTACATCTTCTCTTTCCTCATGCAACACACCAAATAAAGGAGCAAAGAACTCATTCACGGCAATCACAAGCAATTTGACGTTGCACCCTCGTTTCACGCTCTAAAGAAAATTGTATTCCTATTTCTTATTTCATGTGGAACCCACAGCTAAGAGTCTTTTTTATTTTGGAAAAGTTTAAACTTGAGACCAAGCACACATGTCTCCCATGCACACACAACAATAACTAGATTAGGCTCCATTCTATCATTGAGCAAACATTTATATTTAAGTACTCTTTCAACTTTTTTTCAAAAATTAAAATAAAAACAATTACTAATTTAATTTTATTTGTTTCTTTAAATATTTCTCAACACAATTTCACAAAATTACTATTATTTAATATCCCAAAACAAAATAATTTAATTAAAACATTATTTTATTTATACGAGTCTTACAATGTCACATTGCTCAAAAGCTTTTCAAATTTCCTGTTTTCAGTTCTCACACTCTTTTTTGGATTCAAAGAATTCGACTTAAACAAAGTGAAGGTGTTAGGAACCAAAAATTGGAAAGAGACAAAAGAGTAATATTCTTTCTTGTATAGACTATATAGAACACAAAGAATAGGAGAACACTCTCTCCTTCAAGGGTTTTCCCTTCGCAAAGAGCCAAAACTCAATCTACAAAACTATCCAGTTACAAACTAACCAACTAACCTACCTTCTTATAAAGGCACCCCCAACCAACTAACCAACTAACAATTAATTTCTAATTTATTTCCTTTTATTCTACATACAATATATCCTATCATTACACCCTGGTGAAAAACAACATTGTCCTCAAGGTTGGAACCGTGAAACTTGATCTCATGGGTCATCTTCATCAACGTGTTATCATATGAAAGGAACCCACTGGTTAAAGCTTGTAAGTTCAGGTCTAGAGGCTTGGGTTGTGGTCCTCCAATGACTTCCACTCTTCCTGCATTCTTTTAGCCCAAATTTGTGAAATCCTCAAAATCTTATCTCGGGCTTCATCTACTATTGTAGCAACAACACTTTTGGCAATTACTTCATCTACTTGCAAACTCTCATGTAAACTTTCCACACTCCCAATCTGTGTTACTGCTGCCCAACTTTTACATAGCATGCTTCTCCTGTTCCCTTCAACTATCTTTAGTAGAGTTGTTGCTAGATTTTTCAAAGAAAGGTTCTTGGATTTTTTATGCTAGGTTTTGAACCCTTGGACTACATTTTCTTAGTTGTTTGGGTGTACTTTTGTTGATCTTTTGGTGTTTTGAACTTCAGAAGCATTTGTTGCTCCTATTGTTTGACCTTGGGTGTCACTCCCTTCATAAGTGGTTAACTCTTCTCTTTTCACCCACGGAAAAACTAGTTTTCCCTCACCCTTCCTAGTTCCATTATTTTCAAGGGCATCCTCTTCTCCTTTTTTATCCCAATTGATTGAATTTTCTCCTCCACCTGAGTGTTTCTTTGCTTTCTTGATGTCTTGCAGAAGTTCCTCTCTTCTTTTCTCTCTTGCTCTGTAAACATACTCAATTGGGTTGCTCCCTGAAACCATTGTTTTAACCCCAAGCTCAACAATTCTTCCCCTTCTTCACTGTTTTGACATACATACCACAATACCACACTATCTTCACTAAAAACAACAACTTTTGCAACATTCTTTGCAGCAACACCCACAATGTCTCCATCACAGTTTTTGTTTTTGCCTTCCCCTTCAAATTTATTTACTTATCTTCTATCTTTCCATCTAATTCTTGTAAAACCATCAACACTCAAAACAATAGCTTCTGTTTCTCTTTTCTTCTCCCTATTGGTTGAATTTTCTCCTCCATATGAGGGTTTCATGATGTCTAGCACACTATCTTGCACAACATCCCTACCTGTTTCTCCTTCTTTCTTTCCTTTCTTAGCAGATTTCTTACTTCTTTCTGAGCCCTTTCCGTGATTCTTGGATTTTTGCAGCATTTCTTTTATTTCTTGTATATTTCTTCTACATTTTTCTAGCACCCTTTTCTATTCGTTGGCCCACCTCTCCATGGTATCAAACCTTCCTTCCAGCGCATTCATTCTTGCTTCCATCTTGCTCCTCTCCCAAGGATTCAGCAGATCGAACCAAATTGTTAAGAACCCAGAATTGAAAAAAGACAAAGTAATATTCTTTATTGTACAAACTATATAGAACAAAAAGAATAGGAGAGCACTCTCTCCTCCAAGGGTTTTCCCTTCACAAAGAACCAAAGCTTAATCTACAAAATTATCCAAAAAAGTACCCTAACACAAGACTTCCCTGCCTTCTTATAAAGGTGTCCCAACCAACTAACCAACTAACAACTAGTTCCTAATATATTTCCTTTTATTCTACACACATTATATCCTATCATAAGGTTTTGTTGTTTCGGAAGTCACAAAATCTTATTCGAATATCAATAGTAAAAGCTTCCCTCTGATCAAGTGCAAGCCATGTTCTAAAGAAAAGAAAGAAGCACAAAATTTGTAAGTTCAAAGGTTTTTTCAGTAGGGTTATTTCTTATCCATTGAGATTGGTGTAACTCTTCTTTCTGTGTTTTTAGGTTCTTGCTGATTTTCATCTATAGTATGGAGCCATCACGGGACACTATTATCGAAGCAAAAGAAGAACTCATGGTTTCACCATTATCTGGTGAAAACCCAATTCGCAGAACTGCTTACTTTATCAATCCCTTCATGAAAGGCTCAACAAGTCTTCCTCGTTACATGTTCTCTTTTAGAAAAACAGCCATTATTGATTCCAACCACGCAAAACTACCATTGGAAGTGATATATAGCGGATGGCATCGTCCAAATCGAGAATGGAATACATGGGTTCAACAGATGCAACAAAAGTATGAATATATGTGGATAAAGGCTAGGATAGACCAGGCTATCAAAGCTTCTACTTTTCTTATCCATATAAATGATGAGTTGATTCTTGAGCTTGCACAAAGGTGGTGTTCAAAGACTAACATGTTTGTGTTTCCACGGGGAGAAGTAACTATTACCCTGGAGGACCTGAATGTTTGTTGGGGTTACTCTATCATGGGAGTGCCTTTCTCTAGATGTCTTGTGGGTGATGATGAAAAGGAAGTAGAACAAGAGTTGATTACTGTGTTTAGGATGTTTGTCAAAACGAAGGCCAAAAGGGGAGATCATAATCCATGGATGAAGTATTTCATATAAGTCATGAGAGCCATGTGGAAAATGAGGCATTCTTGTCTTTGTGGTTGTCGAGGCTTGTTTTCCCTAGTAGATCAATTAATACAAATTTGAAAAGTGTTTTTCTTATTGCTATATAGTTAGCAAGAGGGACTCTAGATCTTGCACTTGCTGAATAACAAAATCAGAATTGTCACAATAGTGGAGTTAGAAGTCACATTGTGGGCTCCTTTTTAGTTGGTCCAAATTTGGGCATTGGAGAGATTTCCCTCGTTGCAGCCGTGTCCTCAAGTAGTTGAGCAAGGCCAACTCTTGATGGCTAAATGGAACACAGTGAAAATGGTTAAAAATGACAACTTGAAATTGATTTTGGAGTCTTTAAGGCTTTGCTCACTTGAATGAATTTGGGGAAGAATGATTGAATGAATTTTAGAGGATTTGAAGGTAAAATTTTTGTTGTTTATTTGAGTGGATTTGGAGGTAAGTGAGAGTGGATTTGGAAGTAAAGTTTGTGAGAATTAGCGTAGGATTTGATTGATGTGACAAATTAAAAAAATTTACTTATAAATCCACTCTCACTTACCTCCAAATCCACTCAAATAAACAACATAAAATTTACCTTCAAATCCATTCAATCACTCTCTCCCAAATCCATTCAAGTGAGCAAATTGTCAGAGTTGGAAATGACTTTATGTTGTAATTAGAGGAATTATTTATAGAATCTTTTTAATTCGAGAAAATATCTATAGAATCTTTCTAATTAGAGAAAATATCTATAGAATCTTTCTAATTAGAAAAAATAGGTGTATGATCTTCTAGATTATTTTTTAGTACATTGTTTCCTTATTTCCCTCTTTTAAGAGTCATTGATAAGGCAGAAAGGTGTGTCGAACTTCGGTGATCACAACACCAGAAATCAGTCCGAGAAAGAAGTAGCTATGAGCTGCCACTATCACCAGCACTTGTAACCCACGGGCCTTATTCCGACAAGACCTACTCGTCACCGCCGTCACAAAAGGGGTTGCCAAAGCCTCCTAAGTCCGTTCCACGGGTCGATGGCGTCTTGTTTGGCCTAGATTTGAGTATATATGAGTTTTAAGTTCTGCTTTTTTTCCTAGTGTAACCCACATCTCGTTGTCGCCTCGGATAAGGTTACCAAAGACACTTGATTGTGTTCTACTTGATGTTTGAAGTAAAAATTATTCCTTTAGGTCTAAATGATCTACCAAATATGGTAAGTGCCTATCGGTTGGATGGTCGAAATTTGTTACAATGGAGCCAATACATTCAAAGGATTCTCAAGGGACGTTCAAGACTAGATCACATAGATGGAGGAGGACTAGAACCAGACGACACTCATTTTCTAATTTGGGACAATGAAGATTCACTAATTATGAGTTGGATGTGGCAGTCCATGATTCCTGAGATAAGTCAAAATTATATGTTTCATTCTACTGCTAAATAAATATGAGATGATTTACAGAGTACATTTTCATTAAAAAAGAATTTTTGCTGCATGCTATCACATTGAAAGCATGAAATTTAATACCAAAAAGGACTCCTTTTCCATATCAGAATATCATATAATCCTGAATAGACTTTGGTACATCAGTAGTTCATTTAAGTTTTTTTCCTTCTTATTTTTCTCACCTTAAAGTTTCTTATGTCACTTGGGAATTCCCGTCTCACACAACCTACTTATTGTCACTGATAGGTAGTATTGCAAAGACTAAAAAAATTACAGGCATACATCAACATCAATATGTGAAATGGAGTTGATTTTGAGAAGAACTAGATGCTGGTTCATAGATGATGAGCTCCTGTTGTTCATCTATTCAAGTTACACTAGTGCAATGAAGGGAAATGACACCGGTTAGTTTCACTTATACGCAACGGTTCTGCAACCGAGGCATATACAGACGAGGTAAAAAATGATAAGCTTTATGCCTCGGTTGGTTTTGAACCGAGTCAAAAAGATGTCTGCTTATGCCTCAGTTCAGTCCACCCGAGGTAGTATAGGGGTGGGTGCTTATGCCTCGGTTCAAATCTAACCGAGGCAGTAAAGTGACTTTTTCTTTTTCTTCATCATCAGCTGATATTGCAAGCTCCAAGAAAACATCAAAGGAATAACTCTTCAATTAATTCCTTTCTGGCGACCTCACTTCAAAAATTGAAATCGAAATATGCAATAAAAGAAATGTATAAGTAGCAATTATACAAAAGTTACAGCAGAGAATTGAAATTCATGTATGAACATATATACATCTTGAAATCCATCAACCTTTCCACCCAAAGCCTTGTTTTGTCTATAATCGAAATCAGAGAACCCAGAGAATCAGAGAATCGAACCCAGAGAACCCAAAGCCTTGTTTTCTCTACAATTGATGGAACCCTGAACTTCTAACTCCACCAAGGCATAGCCACAATCGAAATCAGAGAACCTAGAGAATCAATCAAACAAAAAACACAATCGAAATCAGAGAACCGCAATCCGCCACGAACGCTTTCGTCTCCTCGTCGGCCTCGGCCACGGTGTCAATCGCCGCTGCGGGGGAGGAAGAGGAGGAAGGGAAGTTGACGTCGCTTTCCCATGGAGCTCGCGTCTTCGGTGTTAAGTCCTCCGGCAGCCACGCCGTTTCCCAAGCCTCGTTCCCGATGAAGCCTCCCTCTCGGTAACACAGATCCAACGCGGCAACACGAAGGAGAAAATAAATCTCGCTGCCTAGCGCAACGCAGATCCAACACGGTGTCGAACAGAGAAGAGGAAGAGGAAGAAAGCTCGTGGAGGAAGAGGCGGTCCGACGACTGGCTCGGCTCCAACGTTGCGGGTGAGCTTCTGGATCTTGTTGT